TATTTCGATGGCATATCTAAGAATATTTGAGCACAACCATTCATGAGTAATGTGAATTTTCAAAATTAAAAAGCATATATTTTGAGATAATGAACTTTTCTAGAGCTAATTTTGATATATTCATTTATTCTAGATACCCTGAAAAAATTATACCTAAAGACCTTTTGTTCATCGAAATTATCATTAAAAAACCTAACGTGAATAACATGACTCTTGGAAGGATATTTACTTCCATTTCATAAATTTTAGTTTAAAACAGTTCAAATGACAGCAACATGTTCGAAAACTAATAATTAATACATTTCTGTAGACCATACTCTTGAGACTAAACAATCTCTATCGAAAGTTTTTCTGAGCATGCATAGGTTTTTCAAAAATTTGGATTTACTTTTCGTTCGCGCAACATAGAGGACTTCGTCAGAATCAATACATAATGATAAGAGAAAAAAACTTTTGTTTTGAAATTCGATAGGATGTATAGAAAACCAATTTTGAAGAGGAAAACAATTATTAATTATAATTACACATCAATTGAAAGAGGTAATATTTTTACGTATGCCTATAGTAAAAAAGAACTTATTCAGAATAATTTCTATTTTTTTTTTTGGTTTTTTTTTACTTTCAATTACAACGATTATATTTTATTGCAGATAATATAATAATGGTAAAAACAATGAAAGAAATTCTTATTGATGCACAACATGAAGTCGAAAATATCTTCTTAGTTTAATATTAGCATTCATTTATTTAAGATATATGAAATACAAGGAGAATTATCTTCAGTAGAAAATGATCTACTACACTGTCATCTAGTCGGAAAAAATACGAGGTAAACATAAGAAATTTATAAAAAAAGTTTCTAGATTTCTTATTCTTTTTTCAATGTAGACAAAATCTTCATGAATATAGATGGAAAGAAAGAAAACTGTAACAGATACTGATCACCAATACCTCCTACTGATCAAAATAATGAATTTAATCGTATTTAATATACAGCTAAATTTTGTAAGAATGCAATGTATAAAACAGTACGTCATCAACAAACCGTATTAATAATTATATCGCAATATTTATATCTTTGAACAAATACTGCATTATGTTATTTGTTTTCAAATTGTATTTATAACAAAGCAATGTATGAGACTCAATATTGAAATTGAAAATGAATAATTCTATGAAACAGTATCATATTTTTATCTAAAAAATTAGATTATAATAATATGACATAAAAGAAAACTTTTTTAAAAAACTTTTCTATTAAAGTGTAAGTGTTCGATGTTTATACTACTACATATCAAATACTATTTTATTTTTGTTATCGTTAAACGAAAATGTAAATTCTTATGGTTGGTAGCTGGAGTGAATTTTGCATGGAACATTGAACGAATACTTTCAAAATTTTGTTCAATTAGAGAACAAATAGATAAGGCTAAGATATTTTACAGATTAGTTTGTAAAATGAATGTTAAAAATCGAAGCTCATTTTAATAAAGAAGGGTGTGAGTGGTTGTACGTGTGACTGAAAATAAGAACTACACTCATACCCACACCCTCATATTGGGTACAAAATTAAACTCTGAAAAAAAATGATGTATGCATTCGCTTGAAAATCTGAAACAGTTAGGTTACTTTGAATCAGTCGACAACAATCACTCAATTTTGTCCGAATTCACATAAAAAGATGCGGAGTTTTATATAGAATATTGTAGCATATTTTTAATTTCAGCAGATCTGTTTCTAAAAGCTCTCTTTAGTTTTTTCGCTTTTTTGACTTTCACACTCAACTTTTCTGTGACGCGAAAAATCTATTCAAAAAACAAAGTCGACGTTTTTTGTAGGGAATTAAGTTCTCTATTGACTGCCATAAAAGTCAAAGTTTTAAAATAAATTGTTAAATGCTTCAAAGATAGGAAATAAAAATGAGTCATTTATAGTGCAGTATCCGTTATCTTCCATTTTCAGAGAAAAATTTAATAATTTTCCAAAAGAATCTTGAATTAAATTTTCTACTGAGGGAGGTTTGTCATGTTAGCGGCAGATCCTTCACGTCTGGTAAGAAGAAATCGAATTCTTTCGATAAACAGCGATATAATAATAGTAAAACTGCATTTGAAGAATACAACATATCTAATAATCATCTTTGTTTTCTTTCAGCCTTTTCAATAATCAAATATATCAATAAAATTTAGTTTAAATTAAAAACAACTTTATGAATTATTTAGTTTTTTTTCATTGAGCTTCCATAATTAATTAAATTTGTACACAAAACTTTCTATGTAGAGAATAAAACAAACGACTAATCGATCAAATTAATATTTATAACTTACAATCAAACTATACTTTCGGCATATGTCATAATAATGACAAGGAATAGATAATTGAGGAAAAAAACATATTTTTTTTTATAGGTGTTGAGTGGATTCTTCAAGTCACTGTTGTTGTCGATTAGTAAATAATGATGAGTTAAGACTTGTTAGTGTTGGATATATGTTGTTCAAATAAAGAAGATTCACTAGTTATTAGTTGACGAGAACAATTTGATATTGATACTCTTTATTTTTCAGATGTAAATAAATAATAAATGCATGTGGATGAAATCAATTTTGATTGAGTGTCATGATGATAATTAAGATCATATAATTTTTGTATTTTACTATTGCTATTGATAGCGTAGCAAAGGTATAGAGCTGAAGAGATATGCATGATTTTGATTTCAAATAGTTATAAAAATTTCGTGCAGAAAAAGGTTCTTTACAAATCGATTACTTTCTTCGATGTGTCATGTGAACAGTACAAGCACATCTATCCACGTATTTTCGGACTCTTCGTTCTCGGGATCATCGCAATAGAAAATGATAACGTTCAATGCTAACGTCTAGTAGGTAAAAAACACAAAGAAACCTCGCAAAAGACTGCATAAAAGCGATATGAAGCGATCTTAATTTTTGGCAATGGAATTTCAATTACCATAAAATAATGATAAACAATTTAACCAAGAGTCGATTCTGTCTTGCCGAAGGTTTCCATTATTTCTCCTATTAACAACAACTGATTGGAGATTATTTCACCAATTTCAATAATCTCGGGTAAAAGTTGGAGGCCAAATCGTCAAAATCAGTGTTTTGTGGAACTTACTGAAGAAAAAGGAAAACTCATATTGAAGACTCAAAATTGTTTGGATCATCTCAAGACATCTTTCTTCCTGACATAGTTCGAACGAATTTCTATTAACTTACCTTTCTCTAAAATATCGCGACACAAGGTACAGATTTTGTTACCGCAAAAAAAATAGGCAAAGTATGAAGATCGAATGTGTGCGTGAATGATTCCATAAATGCTGTACTTCGCACCGCATAAAAAATCAAGTCTACGAATTTGGCTGAATATCTTACAGAAAATCAGTGTCCTATTTCAAAAATTATCGTGCAAGAGAGGACTCATTGAGCTATATTTTTCATATAGAAGATATAGCTAATTTTGTCGAATGTGATCAGATACCAGACGATATCACTAAAGCGATCATTATAATCATTATAAAAGGTGTAGAGATTTTCTTTTTTCGTGCTACTAGACTTCACTACCTGTACAATGTAAAACTCAGATTAGACAAGTAAAAATATAATTGTCATAATATTTGACAAGCTCAAAAAAAGTTGCGGGATCGTTTTTTGGTACGTTTTGTCGCTTGTAACAAACATTTTAAATCAAATTCTTTTGTACATTTTTGCACTAGACACTTTGCTCTTTCTAACAAAAAAGAAGAAGAGATCTCTACAATATTCTATTTCACTGCTGTATCAAAAAGAAAACTAATGCAAAACTTTTGCATCACTCGTTAGTTTCGATACCTAAATCAGAGAATTAATCATTAGAAGCCCCTTTTTTTGGGTTCGAGAATGGTAGCTGATTATCATAGAAAATCATCCATATTTTGAGAATTTCTTCTCACAAAAATATCGGCTTGAACTGAAAGTTTCAGAAAGTACATAACTCATGTTGAAAAATCGTGTCTGCTTGCGTTGCCAATTAGATCAATATGTTTAGAATAGTAATACTGTTAGATTAAGACGAACACAATACGTAAATGAACAATACCGAGCAAATAGGGTGTGGGTGGGTGTCGGGTGGGGTGTGGGGTGTGGATGTGGATGTTAATCTTCTCTTCATTCATACCCACACCTACACCCTTCTCAATATCAAACTGCATGGATTATTTCTGATGATGAAGATAATCAGTCTTTCAAGCAACAAAATGTTTAGTTTTTTTTAATATTAAATCTTTTTCAATATATTAGAATTTTGATGAAGATCATCAAGAAATGATGACTGATTATGCTGATGATCTACAATCAATTAAAGTTGATCAACAAGAACATGAAGAAGAAATCGATGAACTTTTTATGAATCGAAATAATTATGATAAAAAAAAACAGATTTAGAAGAAGATAAACAAACGCGTGTTTTATATATCTGATTATATTTATTTGAATTCAAATATTTAATTTAGTTTAAAAAAATTGAAAGAAGCTAAATTAGATGAATAATGTCCTGATGAAGTTGATACATCAATGGATGTTCCGGCTCAAGTTAGATTTCAAAAGTATTTTATGTTTTTCTATTTTTTTTTTCTATTTGTCTAATTTTATTTTATTGTTCTGATAAAGATATCGAGGTTAAAAAAGTTTTCAAACAATCCGAAAGAAAATTTACCATATGATTATGGAAGAATTTATCAATTTCCTAATTTTCGTACTATGATTAAACAAATTGAAAATGAACAAGAATACAATCAACATAAACAAGATCATGCTCAGGCTAAACTTTTTCTTTTTAAAATATATCTAGTTTTATCAATCAATTAATTCATCAAAAGATTTTATTGAAGAATTTTTTAAAAATTATCCTTAAAAAATGATTATGTGCATATCATATAGAAATATTCCTTTGTGCTTTTTCCTATTCTTCCAGAGTTGATTTTATGTTTAAATTTATTTTGAATAGATTTTCATAAAAAAGAAACAAATATTTAATAATATTGACAATGAATTTGTTTTGTCATCATTGACATTTATTAATCATCGAAGTTTTATCTGAGTATCAGATAAAGAGAAAAGAAATGCCGAGTGATTGCTCCTTCCTTGACAATTCTTTATCGATTTTTCTCAGCAGAACTACGATCGTCTCTATTTACCAAAATCTAAAATCTAACATTGTTTATTTCTAATTAAGTGCGAATACTCGTAAAAGATAATCAATCCGATTATTTTCAATAAGATTTGTTGAAAGCAGTTGCGATCGTCTTCTTCAACTAAATTTCGAACAAGTTTAGCAGATTGATAATATTGTCGAATTAATGACTAAAATCTAAATATTCTACAATAAATAGATAATTGTAGATTTCTGAAAAAAATTGGTTTTGTTCTTAAATGCAAATATGTTTGAATAATGTTGTTGATCAGAATTGAAAAGAAAGAACAAAAAGTGTTTTTGACAGTGACCTATGATCATTAGTCAACAAATAATAAATTGCTTTTTCTAAATGAGATCGTTTCTGATCAAAGAACAAATTTTATGATTGATCAAATTGATAATTCACAATTTATTTAAATCAAAATCTGAGCATCTTATATGACTTTTTTCAGTTCTTTTTCAAATAAATCTTTTTATTCAATTTCGAAGCAAAAAATAAGTTTTTAACTGAGCTTGACAGTAAAAAAAGAAAGATTGGAGAGTGATAATCTGATTATAATCGATAGATGTTGAAATCTATGATTTCGTGCAGGTAGATTTTCAATGTTTCATATATTTAAGAATGAAGAAAAGTTTTGTGTTCTATATAAATGTAATTAACTTGTTAATAATTATTTTTACCGAAGATTTTTTTTTTCCAAAGTTTTCATCTAATGAAATACTTATTTTAAGTTGTATATTTGTTACAGGTGCATAGTTATGTAACTCTTTATGTAAAAGATGTGCCCATCAATAGATTTGACAAGAAAAATTATTTTATAAAAAAACAAATATTCGAGAAAAAAAACTTGTTGTTATTGCTTTTTTTAAAAAATCTGCTCATCTATTATTTGTAACGGATCTTTTACCACATGAACAGTGTTTATCAGTATTAAATATTGTCTTAAATCGTACAAATGATAGTGAAATAATTGTTAAATCAAAAGAACGTCTTATATTTCATGTTGGTTTTCGTCATTTTTTAACTTCACCGATTTATTCTCAATATTCAAATTGAAATAAACATAAAGTTTGTTACTAATTGATTATTATAATAATTAATAGAGATAAGAATATTTTAAATTAGTTTGAAAGATTTTTTCGGCCACGACAAACTCTTGTTGCAACATGTTTTGGTTCAATACCATATCCACTTGCATCGGCTTTGGCATTTAAACAATTTCCTGATGGTATTTTATTCGATTTTTTATATTAAAAAAACAAAAACTTAAGTTTGCTTTTTGTTAAATAAAGGTCGTCAAGAATTAGTAGTAACTGGTTCTCTTCTTTCAGTTAATCATGATCGTATTATATTAAAAAGACTAGTATTAAGTGGGCATCCATTTAAAATTCATAAAAGATCATCTATTATTCGATATATGTTGTTTAATTCTAGTTTAATTACTTTTTTTTCTAAAATTTCTATTATTTATTATTTAAATAGACGATGTTAATTGGTTTAAACCAATTGAATTACGTACACAAGATGAGGTCGACGAGGACATATTAAAGAATCACTTGGTTTGTTATTTATTGTTATTTATTAATTAAATATAAAGATAAGATTTATTTTAATATAAAGGTACACATGGTCATATGAAATGTCTATTTGATGGAATTTTTAAATCACAAGGTACTGTATTTATGAATCTTTATAACAGTGTTCATCCGAAATGGATATATGAAACCATTGTCGATTCAACAACAAGAAAATAATGAAGAAGATATTTAATGATTCGTTTCGTTTCGTTTCGTTTTATATCGTTAAATGTTTTTCTTCGAAAATAAATAAAAAGAAGAATTTTATATAAAGAAATTCTTTTAAACAATATTTACTAACTGTTAAAATATATATAATTTGCTAGTATCATTCACATTTATTTCATAAAATAATTATTTTCATTGAAATATTCAATTAATTATACAAATTATTTTTATCAATAGTAATATAAAAAGATCTTTTTTTATTCATTGATGAATATATCTTATCAGAACAATTATTTTTCTTATTTTCTTTTTTTAAATTCAATCTTGGTCTATACTTCTACTTATAAGAATAATGGGAATTTTTTTGCTTCTTACATCTATTCTTTTAGAAAGAAAAATTTGTTGTTTCTCACAATGATTTTTTAATTCAATTTCTATAATACAGAATATCAAGTTATCGAGTTTTGTTTCGAATAGATCTTTTGTTTTGTTTGAGTAATAAAGAAAAATGTTCTAGCTAATCTTAATAGTTAATACTACAACCGGCAAGTTACCAGTAATCAATAACTTATGAGATTATCAATGAAAGAATACTTTTCCAAATAATTTACATATTATATAGTGTTATGAAAGGTTTTTGGCCAAGTTCGATCAATTCAAATTTGTAATCAGTTTCTCGAATTTGTTGACTTGATTTATTGATGTAATGAAACCGTTTTTAGAACACTTGATAAACATTATCGATTTCAGATTTCAGTTCCTCAATCATGAATATTTTTGATCAAACCTGATAAAAAATCGCGATTTGTTCAACTAGTTATTGCTTGACCAATGAATCAAATTTCATGATTTTCTCATCATAAGTTACTTCGGAAGATAACGATCATTTGTTCCTCCTCATTCGAGTAGTCACAATCAGTTTAGATATTATTCAAAATGAACAAAATGATGAAATCGACTTTTTTCCTCGGTTGTTTGTAAGACAATCGACTGAACAGCTACCACAATATTAAAATCGATGGCAGTCTTTTGAAAATGTTCGACATCCAGAATGGTTCTTGTCTAGTTATCTTTATTGTTACGTTGTCTATGATCATTTTCTACAATTTTCATTTAAAATATTTCTCAGAACTAACGAAATTTAAAAAAAAAATCATCTCATGCTTCATCGATCGGCATAGATAAATGCATCGATTACAAAATCTATATAAACATTGTCATGCATAAAATTATCAAAATGTTATCCAATTGAGATAGATCTTTCTTCATTGAGTTCAATAATTTACTTATTAAGATAACCATAGAAATATTTAAGAAAATTCAACCCAATTCGATTTTACCATTTATCACATAAAAGGCAACCGATGAGCCAATGATGAGAAAAACAACTAGAATATATATTTAGATACGGACAAGCATCATTATCATGTTTATATTAGTTGAGCCATCTGAATATTCTATTAAGAAATAAATATTAATAATGTATCAATGCCGGATTGAATAATTGCATCAACTATTTCAATATTAGTATCAATGACGAGGTTTCATTTTTATTTAGTCTCATCGGAGGATAGTATGCATATTTAAAAAGATCCATATCAGTTACTATTATTTCTCTAAGAACAAAATATCCAAGTCAGAATCAATTAAAACAAGTTGATCAACGATAAACCTATCAGAGGTCCAATCAGGCCCACATTTTGCAGGCCTGGCCTGCCTGTGACAGGCGTACATCCTCCTCGGCCTGTCTAGGTTTTTGTAAGCCAACGTAATTATACTAATATGATATAATTAAGTATTAGTCTTCATAGAAAGTCCAGCAAGTTAATGGAATCAGTTTAGACGATACAAGTAAAAAATTTTTTGATGTGAATATTCAAGAAAATATTTAAAAGTGTTCACTATACAGAAGTGATTCTCTCTTATCTGTGCAACAGAGGATATAGGAAAAGGAGTAGAACAAAATAAAGTTGACCACAAGAAACTTTTTTCAAGTTGTTCAAAGTCAGAAAAAAAGCATTTATATGCCATTATCAGGAGGCTTTCACTAAGAAATGATTGACTTCGGAACAAAAATGGGTCAGCGTGAATTCAGATTATTCACTATAATGAGATGTTCACATTGTAGAGACGTTGATGGTATAAAATTTTACTCTACATTTAATATGAAGTGAAAAATATAAGTGCCGAGGAAAATAAAGAAACAGACACACATTAATATTTAGAAAAACAATCTGTTTTTTTCTTCAAAAATATTTTCGAAAAATCTGACAGATAAATCTAAAACAAAAATAGACTGTTCAACTTCAGCTAAATTAACTGGGGTTTAAAAACTGGTTCAGAACAAGTGATGGTAAACGTGAAAAAGATGATTCAACATGTGAGGAAATAGACTCCCTAGTAAGATTTTACTTTTTTTCTGTGCATAACTATTACACGACGATTTCGAAAGTGATCACTGGCAGAATTAGCACTCATATGGTTTGAAACAGTTAATAAACTTACTATATCCTATCGTCGATAATAATTTGATCTATTTAACTATCGTTATAGTGATCGATCAAGCTAGTTTTCAAACAGTTTGATAGTGATTTTTAAGCACTCTGAAATGATAAGAAAACGTCGAAAAGATACTTCTTCAGATATGATTTTCAGTGGTCTGGACTGGTATTTGGTAGATCTCAATCAGAAGTACAGCTTAGGTAAAAACTAAAATCATCTTATGAATCAGTATTTAACACTGAGTAGACTTATGCCAATTTTGAATCTTTTTATCGTCCTTTTATCGTTGACAAGTCACCCAGTCTCTCCCGGATTAGGTCAAAAAAGATGAAACTCGTTAAGAGTGTTTCGGATGGCTTACACAAACGCTGTTTTTTGTTCTAGTGTCATTGTGCAGCCTTAGAATTCTTTTCCATTAGTGAAACTACTTTTTGATGCGATTCATATTTTGACTTAATCTTGATGGGGACTTGGGTGCTTTTTTCGACGATAGAAGGTCGCTGAAAAGATTGAAAATTTTCATTAGTCTGCTTAATGTTGAATGCTGGTTCTCAAGATGATTTTAGTTTCTATCCAAACTGTACTTCTGATTGAAATCTACCAAATAGCAGCCAAAGACACTCAAATCATGTCTGGAGCAATGTTTCCCTCGGGTGCTTTTTTTTACTGATAATTCATTTTTTCTCTGATGTTCACTTAGCATTTCGAATAGCTTAAAAATCCTTATCAAACTATATGAAAGTTAGTTTAATCCGCTACCATATTGACAATTAAATAGACCTGATTATCTTCAACTGTCAAACATAATACACTAATTGATTATTTCAAACGATCTGAATACAGTATAAATAGTTGCAAGAGAGCGAATTCTACCAGCGATCACTTTCGAAACTCTTGTTTAATAATTTTGCTTAAAAAAAACTTTCCATGGGAAGTTTTCATCGACTATTTAGCTCCTCTTTTGTGTTGAAAACCTCTTCATATTGACAGTAGATTTCATTGTTTATATCCATCTTCAATATTTATTCTCAAGCATTTATCTAATTCGTCACATTTAAATGTCATCGTTCAAAACTACTCAACTAAATTTGTTTTCTTGAATTAAATTCAATTCATGCGACAAATTTTTCATATCGAAGAAAAAGTAGATAGGCCAGGCAGGCAGGTTTGGTGACCCGGTTGGGGATCTGAAACCTATCTATAATATTTTAATAAGTTTCGATAATAAATTTCATAGATATTTTGTCACAAATTATATAGTATCGCATAAAGAGACATTTGAAGCTCATTCATTACGTGTTGATCATGGCAATAAATCTTATCTATCATTTTTGTTATATTCTTTGTTTGATCAATCCAAAAGAATTATCTTCTCTATAGTTAACTATATTTGAACAAAAGCTTTGCATCTTCATAAACTTCAATTAGTAAATAGAAGATAATTATTGTTATATGATTTTATCTGAAAATAATAGGATAGAGCAGTCAGTAGATCATAACCGTATCTACAACAATATAGAAAAACTCATCGAGATGTAACGCATTTTATAGATTGACTTTATAATCTAACTTTAACAAATGCATTTAAGTAGAAGACATCATATTTTTCTCGATAGTAAGTAACTCATATAGACAACCATGACAAGTCAAAAAGAAAAACGAATACAATAAAGTATTTTTCGTATCTGTCGATAAAGATCGTTCGTTCGTCTAATTTTCGGTATTGACAAAAAAAAAAAATATCGATCATAATAAAAGTATAATCGTCAATATTTTGATTTATGTTTTCCATGGTTTATGAATTAGACAACATATTTGAATCTTTCCGATAGACTTTTTTTATCAAAAGTTTTCCATAGTAGGAGAACACAGTCAGAAGTTCACAATCAATCAATTTTGCATCAAAAGATAATTTAATAAAGAACATTTTACGTGACATTGACATTGATCACTACTCATCATTAATATATACGAATCCTTTTTTTTCATTCATTCATTATTTTTAAGGCTACAGAAAGTAAATTCAAAAATTTTCTTCTTTTTTTATTTCTTTCTTTTTATACTTATTCATAAATAAAGAAACAAACAACAACAAGAACAACCACAATTGTTTATGATGGTGAAGGTGCTGATGAAGCTGTTGATGATAGTTCTGATAGT